TATATATATATATATATATATATATATATATATATATTTGAAGAGGTATACGATAAGACGCACTTGAGCCGATGTTGTAAATGCAAGTGTGTAAAATCTTACTTTTTTTCTATCATTTTACATATTTATATTTATTAACATATATTATTTTTACTTTTTAGCACTATTAATTATTGTGACATTATTCAAAACTTTTATATATATTCTTAATTTCTCATGTTTGTTTTTTTTTTCATCATTTTCTTTTAAAGATTATCTACACCATTCTTAAAATTTTAGAAATTTTTATATAAAAATATTAAAAAATATATAATATTACTTTAATAGTTGAAAATAAGTAGAGTTGAATTAAAATCAATTCAATTTGACTCGACTCAATAATATTTGACTTAATTTAAATTATTATTTTATATATTTATCTTATTTGCATTTATTTTATAACATATATTCTTTCCATATATTTTTACTTAACAATTCCATTAATTAAGGAGACATTATTCTTAAGCTTTTATATATACTAGAGGGGTAGAGGCACGAAATAAAATATTAGAAAGTTGTGTATAATTATTTAAGAAAGTTTTAAGATTTTTTTTTATATATTTGGGGGTATAATGGTCCATTAAAAAATGGAGACCAAAAAACGGTTACATCTCCTATATTTCCTTTATAATAGTTATAGATTATAGATTATAGATTATATATATATATATATATATATATATATAAATATATATATTATTTAAGAGTAAATGGAGAGGTTGGGAACCTTATATCTAAAATTTAATTTGAACGAAAATGGAAAGTACTACTATTGTGATGAATTGGAATGCATATTCGATTTGCCATTAACAGCAAGGGTTTGCTTTGCTCCATCCTCTTTCAACTGTCAATAATTTTTCTGTTTTAAATTATGTCTTATTTTTATTGTAAAACCAACAAAAGTTTTAAATTGGATAACCATCAATAACAGTTACATGGAGGTTGTTTTTTAAAGTGGAGAACAAAACCTTTGTATTTCTTTTATCTATAGTTAAGTCATAAATAAGTTTAGATTGATTTTTTTTAAAATGAGTAAACATGATTTAGATTAAAAAATGACTAAACGTAATAATTTATTGTAGATTTCTTAATATTTTTTTTTTGGAAAAAAACTCAAAAGAAATCAAATTTCCAAATAAAAATTATATAAATTTAGTTATTTGAATTTTTGTAATTAAAAAACCCATAAAAATTATATAAATTTCAAAATTCAAAATTAGGCTAATTTTAAAATTTAATTTATAATAAAATATGATTATATATTTAAATGTTTAAAAATGAATTTGAAAATTATTGAAACGATAATTTATATTTATGTTGTTTTATATAAAAGAAATGAATTTGAAAAATAGGGATATCTTAAATTTAGATGTTTAATAAGTTGAATAAAATTTAAATTCATTGTAAAAATATAAAAAATCATTGTAAAAACTAAAATTAAATAACTTAGTTAAAAAAGACTATAGTTAATAATTTAATGTAGAATTTATTTTAAAAAAAATATTGTTGAAAAAATCTGAAAAGAAATAATAAAACAAAATCCGTTGAAATCGCAAATCTAACTACAAATAAAAAAAAAATCTGGAAACAAATAATATCACAAAACAAAAAACTTTGAAACCGCAATTGAATCTTTTTGTTGTTTTGGACATGTCTCCATGGTACAAAACTTTTATAAGTCGCACAATCACATGTTATTTAAAGAAAGAAGAAAAGGAAGGGAAAAAAAACCCAAACAGTATCGGATGTCGTCTTTTAAATTTATTACACAGTTTTAAATCTGTATGTCATCAAAACTAATTTGATTCATTAAAATAATAAATTGATGCAAAATAATCTACGTATATGATAAACACTCAGTGTTAGAAAAAATGGAATGTTACTTTACAATTAGCAACATTGAAAATTAAAGGAAACAAAATATAAAGGAAATAAACACTCGATGTTGAAAAAATGGAATGCTACTTTACAATTAGCAACAATAAAAATTAAAGGAAACAAAATATAAAGGAAATGTACCGTAAAATGCAGTATAGATTTTGCAGTGATATGAAGTTGGTTTAACAAAAAAGAGAGGAAGTAAGAAAGACGAGATTGTGAGAATGAAACTAATAAATACAGTTGATTAGATGTATGCGGTTAAAATGAGTAAAAGTAGCGGTTACTTAAATAATATGTGGTTAAAAAAGTGTTTGGTGAAGAATAAAAGATTTCAAAATTATATATAGAGACAAAATAATTGATTATATTATTAAGGGTAAAAAGATCATAAATAAAAGTGGAGGCTAAATGACAGTTATCTATATTTATATCTCTTTTATATAATGTTATATATATATATATATATATATATATATATATATTTTGTTAATTTCATAGTTTGTTATGTTTATTTCTTTACATCGTTGTTAAAGTTTAAAAAGATTATATAAATTAATTTTTATATGAAGATACTAAGAAAAATATAGTCCTATTTTGAGAATTGGTAATGAGTTGATTCAATTTCAACGTGAACAATTTTTTTATAGTTAAAATTCAAATTGATTCAAGTTCACAAGTAATTCAGTTCTATTTATTAACTCGAATCACATAAATTAATAGATATTTTTTAATCTTATATATTTCAAAATTTTAATTTATTAATAAGTTTTAGATAAAATATTAATTTTTTTTTGAAAAGATAAAATTGAATTTATTCTATTAACTTTATAAGGCATGATTCTAAAAAATATATAATTACAATCAAAGTCTGGATTAATAAAAATTACTTGACCTAGCATAAAATAATAAATAAAAAAACTCAATTTATAACCATGAAACTCTAATATCTATATTTTTTACATTATTATTAACTTATAATTAAATTTTAAAATTTAAATAAATTAAATATAAAGCTAATTATATAAAATTATATATTTATATATCAAGTTGATTCATAAATTAGACAAGACAAACTATATACAATTCAAATTCAACTTATTTATTTATTAAATTTAATTTTTAGCTTAAATTTAACTCATTTAATTTATGAATCAAATTCAATAAGATATTATCAAATGAAATTTTAAACTATTTACTAGTTGATTTAGTTCATGTGCATGTAAAAATACCTATAATTAGTTAGTGGTCATTACTTCTATATTATACATGTTTTGGCATCACCTATGTTATTGCTTAATGGTGTACAAACATGTGTATATATTTAACACATCATTTAATACATTATATAATTTTATTTACTTGTTAATATTGTAAATATATAAGTCTCTTCAATATATTAATAACTTTTTAAATTATTATCTTAATCTTTTTTTTCTTCGAAATGTTATATTTTTTCTTTTGAATTTATATACAAGTTATATAATGTTTTTACAATCAAATTTTTT